GTGGACGGCAAAAAGGGATGCCATCCTTGTGTTGATGCCACAGATTCTAACACATCTGCCAGGTTGTTTGTACCACTTTTGCTCTAAAGATGGTGTCTGAATCTCCTCCTGTGCTTGACCCATAGAACTACTCAGATATTCACAAAGCTCCCCCCCCATGTTGATGCCAGGGTGAAGGTTTCTATGTGGTTTGGTCAGATGTTTTTAAGGTCACAAAAGGAAGAGCATTGCTGAATTGCCTTCTGCCACTCCCCTGCTGCTGCAGAACCAAGCTTTAAGTGTGTACTTACATATTTTGCTGCATATTTAGCAGCTTGCAAGAGCAAGCACTGAGATGTCTCACTGAAAAATGTGCAAGTGAAGGGCTTGCTAGAAAGGTCTCAAGGTCCTGATTCCAAGACTAACAAGGAGTCTCAGCTATTACGCTCCAAGTGATAAAATCATGATGCAGGTGGGAGGCTAAATGACTACAAAACCTGTGCTTAGGGTCTCCAAATGAAAAGTGCTGGGTGCTGCACTAGGATTTATTCATATGACTGTTGCATTAGTGAAAATCTCTCTCCTCTCTCTTACACCCCAGCATTAAAGACACAGTTTCTCACTGAGTCAGCTCACCATAGGCACATCTGAGATGCTCAAGATTGTGTGGAACATGCACGCAGGTCCTGTGGCCTGCAGCTGTCTCCACCACAGTGTATTTCCTGTTAGCTGGTCTAACTAGAATCCCCTCCATTTCGTCATATTTTCCCATTCACTGTAAGGAGAAAGTAAACTCAGGGCTTTTAACAAGGTTTTAATTGTAGCTGGATTGCTGAACTGCTACGAACCTAAATTTTTAAATTATGGAAATTAGGTTGTTTGAAGTGGGGGCCCGCCTGGGTGCTGTATTCAAGCCTTAGTTCCTGCAGGAGACAACACACAAGGCTGCAGCTCTGTCAATGCACAGTGCTGGGCTTACAGGGAGCATAGAAGCCAAACTACTTGTATTATTTTCAGTGTAATAAGAATTGGAGGTCCATGACAGCAGATGGTAAAATTCCACTTAGGTTCCTGGATACAAAGTGAAGCTGAAAACATCTGACTCCTTGTATAAAGGGTATCAGTTTTTAGATTGAGTTATAGCAAATACAGTGGTAGAGAGAAAGCATAACCTGCTTGCAGCCAGAAGACAGACAAGAGAATAAAGAATTCCCCTGAGTGGCTTGCTGGCTACCTGCCATTCCTCAACAGCAGAAGATAAAAGGGAGTACCAGGATAACTACTCTGACCCTATTTATTTCCAATAAAATACAGATATTTACATGAGATGAAACTGTTTGATATTCTGGGGCTGCCCAGCTCCTGTGACAGGAGACAAATGAAATGCTACTTTTTATTAGATCTGACCTACCAGAAGCCAATAACACATGCAGTAGCTTAGCAAAGACAGAGTGGGACTGCCACATGAGGTCCAGGCTTTCTTCCCAGGTTTAACAAGGCTTCTCCCGTCCTGGAAAACCAACTTTGCAGCCATGCTCCATACTACCAAAATTTGGTATGTGCTGATAATTAAGTGAGGTAAAATAAGTACAGGCAAAGGAACAAAAAACCAAACCATTTACAAAAGCAGTGGGGTAAGTGATAAAAATTTACACGTGCTTTTTCTCTGTCTGTGATTCAATCCATTAAAGTCATGCATTACATCTGCATCACACAAACCATGTATATTTAGGCAATAAATGTATTCTTGCTGCAGACATAAAAATACATTATTGCTAGAACAAAAATTAAGAATGTTGGTAACATCTCACAAAGTTAAAAAAACACCCCAAACCTTTTGTATTGATTCTGGAATACCTGGTTTAGACAAACTTGAAGCATATAAATTCAACCAAAGCTTCTTTGGTATGCACTGTACTTTGTGAAATAAATGGAAAAATAAGGATACATGAAATTTTTTTCTTCCAAGTGTATAAACTCCAATGTATTCTCAAGGGATGTTTCTTTCTCACCATTTGCACTTTTTAGTGGAAAATATTCTATAGCAAGCATGACTAAATGTAGCTTTTGTACACAAAATAGGCCCTGAACAAAGGAAAACATGGAAAATTGTTAAAACTAGCACTTTTTCCATGTCTTCAATGGAACCATGCCATCTTACCCATGCTGAAAGTATGGTGTTAGTGTTTGAAGGAAAAAAGACCTCCTCTCTTAAGAAAACAGGTTCATTGCTAAAAGAGAGGCAGAGAAACTATATGTCCTCATAGATTACAGAGCAAACAAATAAAATGTAATGATGTAATTAATTTGAAACTAATTTATCGGTAGATGGGTGATCAGTGGTTTATAACAGCTATATGCTTAAAAGGCAAAGGGCCTTTGGCAAAGAGAGCAAGCTGCTTGGGTTTTTTTAAATAAGTCAACAGTTTTTGCAGTTGTCAGCTATTCTTTGATGGGAGTTCAAGATCCGTGCAAAGGCTGAACTTCAGCACAGTCATGACAGGACTTTGCCAGCAGCTCTGTCACCAGGAGGCTGTCAGTTGAGGTGACATGTTTCCTCTCTGCTGTCCCAGGCAGAGAAGGTGGTTTTTCAAGCAACTCAATAACAAAAGTGATTATTTTTTTCCCAATGTAACATTAATGGCTTTGTGAATTATTCATGCAAGCATGGAGGGGAAACTTGAATGCAATAAAGAAAGAGTTTCTGTTTTCATATGAGTCTTGTCTCTGTTGTGGTTTGTTCTGCTTACACAGGATGGCTGCCTCCCATCAAAAGATGTTTCCAACAGTGTTTTTTTTCTCACTGGTGCGCAGTGACCGCAAGGATCCAACCAGCTGCCTTCCCCTGCTCTGGAAACACAAAAGGTAGAGACTGCTCCCTTCCTACTATTTGTTTATGGAGCCTGAGGACAGTGCCAGTAAGTCCAACAGCTGGGCTATTGCAGAAAAAAAGCAATAATAAAGCCTTAATTCCATGTGATGAATATTACAAGTAGAGATCTCCAGAATCTTCTTTTGTTGCTTCAGGTGTACTGATAGACTCAGGAATTTGCCACATGCCATCAAATTTGACATAGGCTGTGCCATTTTACTAAAGCAGAGGTTAACAAGAACATGGACTAAGTCAAATAAATTATTTTCAATTTTCAATGTTTGTTTCCTCAACAAACCCACAAGGCAACATTTGCCTTGCACAGGATTATCTGTGTTACAGTTCTTGCTTCAGATGGCAATTTTAGACGTTACTATCTAAATGAAGATATTGAAACGTAATGGAGATGCAAATCTGTATGATATATTACTGTGAACCCCGTCCTGTTTTCCTCAGGAACTAGACAGCATCCACTGTTGCTGCTTGGGCTACATCTGTCCTTTGAATGGAGACTTTTGCTCCTTAAGGCCAGATAAAAACAAGCCAACCAAGCCTTTGACCTCTGCCATTTGCACCCCAGATGAAAATTCATGAGCAAGTACTAAAAGACCTGTATCACATTCTGCTGTTGCTGTGCAACAGACACACAAAAAATTTAAAATAAGCTACCCACTGGTGTCTGTATTATGAATATCACCCAGATTGTAAACTAATGTTCTTCTGAATAGTTTCTGTTCCAGGCTTTGGGCACTTCTAATTGACCTGGATCTACACACCCCTGTAATATTTGAAAACCACTTGTAGTGCAGGTCTTTGGAGTAAGGGCTCTTCGTTACTGTGTGTATGGCACACGCAGGCTACCGCCTTCAGTCCTAACTGGGCCTTTCAGGCATGATCATAACTAAACACCCAGAAAAATGAAAATACTGAAGTGGTGTTTGGCAATGTCAGATCTAGCTGGACAATTGTTTCTGTGCTTGTAGTCTCTAGAGGCTTTATCAGGGATCATCCTGTCTTTGCCTCAGTGAAATAATCTAACCAGATGAGGCAAAGAGTAGGAGGAGAGGCAAAGACACTGAGAGTAGAGAAGAGTTGCCCAAGATGATGTAGTGTCAGAGCCAAAAAGAGGAGCCAGAATGCAACACCCTTCTCCAAATGACTCTCCTGGAAATAGTTCTTTAGGCTTTGGACTCTAATTCATCTTTTTTCTTGGATCCTAAGCACTTGGATCATAGATAGATTTCTGATCTCTTGAATATGGAGAGGGAAATAAAACATCGTATTTCTACGAAACACTTATGAAAGATGTACGAAGAAAGGTTGAATGCCTTTTTCTTGGAGGAGGATGTTATTCCCTTCCCCCGAGATGCTTTGTCATCCCTCTTCTGCCTCTTTCTGCTAACAACGCTTTCTTGGAATAGATTGTGTCATTCCAAGTGCTACAGGACCGCTATGCCTAGCTACTTCCCACAAAGATCCATTTCTCGTGAAGTGGGCCTAATGCCTGGTGGGATACCCCGGGGGCTGCAGTGAATCCCTCTTCCCAGCCCAAGGCACGAGACAGCCTTGAGACGGACCGTGCGTGCTGCAGGCTGAAACGCAGACCTCGTCCCTTTTCCCTTCTTTAGCTGTCCTTAATTACCATTCACAGATCTAGAGCCTTCCCCCGGTTTCCCCCTTCTCTTCCACTTCCCCAGCAGCTCTTTCCGGCTTCTCCCTACGGCTCCCCTGCCCGGGCTCCTGCCACGAAGCCCTCGGCGCGCCCCGGCAGCACTGCTCCGTTGGAGCCGTTTTACCCACACCGGGAGCTTTCAGCGCGGCCGGGCCCCGTTTTCGGCTGCTTTCCGCCCCGTTTTCGGCTGCTTTCCGCCCCGCCAGCGTCCTCCTCTCCCGAGGCACATCCCTCCCCCCGCTCCCCAACGCGCCCGGCACGCAGCACCCGCCGCTGCCCTTCACGACAGGTCACCCGGTGCGGGAGGCTGAGATCACCCCCCGACTCCCAAGCGCCGCTGTCCCCGCTGGGGCGGTGCCGCGGCCCGGGCGGGCGGAGCGGGGCGGGGCGGGCCGGGGGCGGCCCGGGAGCGGCCGCGGGGCTTTAGGGCCGGCGGGAGGCAGTGCCCCTCCCCTCTCTCCGCGGTGGTGCCGGCGGGAGGCAGTGGCGGCGTCGGCGTCGGCGTCGTGCGGGGCTGCCCCGCCATGGAGGACGTGTGGGCGGCGGCGGCGGCGCGGGTGGGCGCCGTGTGGCTGGCGGTGGTGCTCGGGCTCATCGTGCTGCCCTCGGCGCTGGGCATCTCGCTGGGCATCTCCGAGGCCTACATGTGGGTGCTGGTGAAGACGCTGGAGGTAGGCGGCTCCGGGCGGGTGTCCCCGGTGGGGTGTTCCCCGCGGAATGCTGGGCCTCGCTCCCCTTCCCGGGGCCGGCGGGGTGGGCTGGCCGGGCACGGCTCCGTCCGGCCGGGTGTGCGGGTTCCCGGCAGCGCTGCGGGCATGGGGAGCCCCGGGCAGCCTCTGTGCCCTCGCCTGGGCTGTAGAGGAGAGGGGCTGGGCCGCGCCCTGCCTGGCATCACCTGTGCCCGTTTGCAGTTTTTTTGGACTTAAAGCCCTCGGGCAAAACTCGAAATCTCTTGTGGATTTATTCGGTGGCTGCGCAGGCTCCTCTGGCGTGTGCTCCTTGAACCCGCGGGAGGAGAGCGAAATAAAACCTCGTTACCTAAGGCTGTACCATGGCCTGGGCGCGGCTGTCACTGCTCGGGGACGGCTGTTCCCCTACCTGAGACAAATGATGCCGGGTCACGCTCTGGGACGGGTGTAAATGTCTGGCAGTGTGCCCGGTGCCTGCGACGGCAGGTGCCAGGGAGTGTGCTGATGCTCACAGACACAGACTCCCGTCCAAGCTGAGCGTATCCAGCACCTCAGTTGCCATGTCTTTCCCTAAATTCTCGGGGGTAGCCAGTTTCTCGCAAAGGAACTGCTTTCTGCAGGGGGCATATTTCATATGTGTGAGAAAATGCATCCTCTGAAGCTCTTTGTGGTGGGGAGGAACAGTGTTTTAAAACCGCTGATGGAAATGATCAGGTTTAAATCTTTATTACGCTTTTCCCAAGGAGGAGGGGCACCCCAACCAACGAAAGAGCTGTAAGGAGGAAAAGTGAAATGATTCACAGCATAGTTAGTGCTGTGCATACATCAGTATGTGACAGGAAGAAGTAGGTTTTATAGAATTTCATCTTCGAGGTTTTCAGGCAAACTTTGTTCATGTACTTCAGTGCATTCAAGTTCCTTGGTGCTTGGCTGAAAAAACCCCACTTCTCTGTTAAATACCTCAAGTCAAAATGTTTTAAGGCTTTTGGGTGAGAATGAATCTGCTCCAAATATTTCTGGGGCTGTGAATGGTAGGATGATAACTGTTAAGGACAGAAGGATGCAATTGTTACTGGAAAAAAGTTTTTGGATAGCAGAAGGTGAGGGGGTGAAGGTCACATATGCCTGAGGGAGCAATCCAGATGTCCTAGTGAGATAGTATTATTTGGATGACTTGCCTTCACCTGTGATTAACCACAATTTGCATTCTTTCTTCTTAGATCACTAATCGTTATTTTTTGGTGTCATCAAATGTTGTGACAAGGGGTGACTCAAAATGTTTTAGGAAGAAGTATGAAGAAGTATCTGACAGCATGGGCAAAATTATTGGGAAGTATCTGACGTCATATCAATGATGGTTAGTTGCAAGAGCTCTTCTGTTGCCTAAGGGAGGAAATAATGACTTATCTTGAGAGTTGCCATTACTTTTGTGTGAAATACCTTTTGGAATTACGTGCCAGTCAGTATATTAAAAATTATATTAATATGTATTTATGTTGAACATAAATACTACATAAAATACTATCTCTGTAAAGGCCAATGAAAAACTGGGAAGCGTTCTGAGGAGAAGAGTCAGCTAAGGTGGACTTCCTGCAGGAGACTGAAGAAGCTCAGTCCACCTAGGTAGTCCATTTACCTCAACTTGGCCTTGCTTTGCCTGTGAATTCTTTGTACTCAGAATACCTGCATGGAGAGAATCCTGGAAAGGAAGTGGTTTGTTGTGAATGACTCCTGTTCCTTGGCTCACAGGTCTGCCTTGGTTAGCAGCCTGACAGAGACAAGCTGATTGTCTGCCAGCCATTCCAAGCAGCACCTGTGAGGGCACCTGAAGATGTGTGTTGTTGCCCCTGACTCTTCCCTGCCAAAATCTTGTTAATGCTGGAAAGTGCTAAATACACAGCTGCTGCCTGGGTGTTTGAAACTGCCTGTGGTTTTGAATCGAGCGCACAGGTTTTCTCCTGAGAGGAGTTTCCTGGCTATGTGAAGTCAGAGGATGCTCCAGTCTCTGATGGGCTTAGGCCTTTTTCACAACAGTGGTTAACTTAATAGCTTCCTTAAGCTTCCTCTTCAGCTCCCAGCCCTGGATCTCCCAGGCAGTCTCCCTTGCCTCTTTGCCAGGAGGAGGGTGGGACCTTGGGCCTGCAGAGTGTTCAGTCAGGATGGAGGTGCTGCTGCTGTTGCTGCCTTCATTGTCTCTTTGATGGGCTGAACCACAAGAACTGCAGAAAGTGGTGGCTGTTTGTGCACCCCAGCTGAGTACCACGTTGCTCTCTGGTTTTGCCTGCTGATATCACACATATTGCCATGTGGGAGGACACAGTGGGAGGACACACACTGGCATGTAGCAGGCACAGTGGGAGGACAGTAACTGTGTTTTGTTTCTTACATGGCATCCTTTGCCAGGTAAAAAACCATGCTTTTTTAAAAACTAATCTGCTCTGAGGGTCCAAGTTTGTCCAAAGTCCAGGGACTAAATAGATGAAGAGTCTACATTTCACAGTGGTGCATGTGCTGGTCCACTGTCAGGTCAGATGAAACAGGGCATATAACAGTGAGTCTGTGGTGTTCTTCAGTTGTTGTGTAGGCTGTGGTAAGGAGCAAGTTGAGGTTAGCAGGAGACTTGTTTGTGGATTTTTTTTCCTGCCAATAAGAAAAAAAAAAATCTGCTTGTTTTAGGAGGGCAGAAGCCTGTTCCCAGTGCAGTAAGCATGGTCCAGGAAAAGGGCTGGGAGAGCTCCTTTTAGGAACAAAGTGTTTTTGTACTTTGACCATCTGACATTTCTGACAAGGGACATCAGTTGGTGCACAATAGCTTTTTCTCTATGCTGAGCTGCCTCTGCAAGGCACATGCTTCTAAGCAAAGAGATTACCAGCTTTGTATGGAGAATATAAGTAGATTTCTTTTCCTATGTGATTATATTTTTTTCTATGTGATAAGGGGAAAAAGAATAAAAAACTGTAACCAGTTGTGCTAATACCAGAGGAATGAAGTAGAGCAGGCAGACCACTTGCTATTAGAAAGCCTGCTTCCCCCAATCACATGGGTATTCCTTAAAGTACATTAACTTGCTTCTGAATTGCCTTACCAAACATGGCAGACTTTTAGCAAACTGCTCATTTCTGCCTGTGGATTCCCTTTCAGTGTTAATAGAAGTCTGGTTTTAAAAAAAAAACATCTCCAGCAGCTGTTCACCCCTACGAGGAGCTAGTATGGGCTAGTGACTTGCTGTGCTGATGCTTGTGAAATCACTTGCTGTAGCAGTCTTTCCTACTGCTGGAACACTGGGGACTGCCTCTTGCAATCGTCACAGCATGCTGCATTTCTCCCTGTTTGGTTTTCAACATCATCATATAGCTTCCGCTTTTAAACTTAGTGCATCTTCACCTCTCGGTCTCATTTTTCCTCTATCTCAGTCCATTGCCTCTTTTATGAGCTCTAATATGAGTTGGGGCTGGTGAGGCCCCTGCAAGCCATTCCAGCTGTCTTGCCAAGCAGTTGAGAAACCCTGGTTTTCACAAAGTCAGTTATCTTTCATTAAGGCCCATAGAGCAGCCACAGTGACAGAGCAATCTGTTTCTCTATTTTTCAGTTTGTAGAAGATTTGAGGGACTTGTTTAGACTGTGTGTCCATATATTTGGCAGTAGCAATGAACCCCCTGCCCCCCAGTGATGATCTACTTGACAGATTGCAGTTCAATTTGTTAAAAACTAATTCCAGTACTTTGGTGTTTTTCAGTGTGCTGGTTTGTTTGTTTGTTTTTTTGTGGGGTTTTTATTGTGTGTGTGCCTAGCTACCTGACACCATAGGGTTGCTGTCAGCAACACTTTGTACAAATTGCCCTGCTTGATCTTTTTAATCGAAAAATGTTTCTTGTCTTTTTTAAATACAAGAAACCATGGTGCATGATACTTGTGAAATATTAAGAAATGAGAAAGCCCGAGAGAAGTGAAGTTATTGGGTCACATTTGTGTCAGGAAACAAACAACCTGGCTATTAACTAACATCACATTATTGTCTATTTTTGGACTAATGGTTTGTTGATGACTGCAAGCACTTTGAAGGCCCTACCCTGCTCCCCAATCTCTTGAGGCTTCTTGTGAGGCTTGCAGTTAGCAGAGAAAGCACTTGTGTGGTTGGCCTTCTGTAATGCACAACAGATGCTTGCAGTCATAGGTGTTTTTCTCATCCTGTAACTGATCCATCAGGGTTTAATAGCGGCCCCTTGTAATAGAAGCAATTTTTGATAGCTTATTATGCTGCCCTACAGGGAATGTGCTTTTGCTGGACAAGGATGTAACTTTATTTGGTAGCTGGGAGGTTTAAGCCCAGGTTACTTGTGTGGCAGGTGACTCTGGCAATATGAATGGACCTAAACTTGAGAAAAATATACTTATGGGGAAAAAAGGACTTTTCCGTGCCTGTGGTTAAACTGCAGATTGTGGCTGTGCAAGGGTAGGTGAGATGGACTGTTATGTCCTGTCCCAGGTATGCCAGGCTGCAGCTTCTCAGGTTAGACAATGGAGGAAGTTCTTTACAGAGAGAGTAATTGGGCATTGGAATTGGCTGCCCAGGAACGTGGTGGAATCAGTCCCTGGGGCTACTGAAGAGGAGACTGAATGTGGCACTTAATAGACAAGGTGGTGTTAGGTCAAAGGTGGGACTCCATGATCTCAGAGGTCTTTTCCAACCTAGTTGATTCTGCGATTCTTCCTATGAGTCACCATCGGGATTTAAATGGTGCTGGGTATAAGGGCGGGGAAAGGAAAAGGAGAAGATGTAAGCTGATAAATAGATGAATCATTGTGGGTTTTGACTGTTTCTTCTGTAACTCACTGGCTTCTGAAGCAAGCTTTGCTGACTAATGTCCTTGCACGGTGTCAATGAAGGCCTCTGTCTGTAATTGCTATCCTTCAAGGACTGCTGGGCAGAGGAGAATCCGAGAGCTCTGAAGTGAGAGAGTGTCTCTGAAAGCTGCCAGCT